TGTTGCGGCGAACGCCGCTTTCCGCCCGACGTGACGCCAACTTACTACCTGCCGTCAATTCTGCGCGCGTTCTGGTGTACAAGCAAGCAGCTAGTCTGGCACCTATCTAAGCGCTAGTACCTTCAACAAGATGAATGTGTTACGACTGTGGAGGTATTACACACCTCTCACAATGTAAGATACTCAACAGAAATATAGACTCTTTATTAAATAAATTATTCATCCACCTGTTTCATCACAAATTTTTCTCTAAATATCTCTATGAGACAAGGCTCGATAGATTTGAAGCAATTGCGTTGAGGAAGTCTTCCGTTACTAGGTACATGCCTTTCTCGGCTCCCTTTTTCGAACCGTGGATGCAAATAGCTAAATCTTTTGTCATATTTCCTGCTTCAATAGTGTCGATGCAAGCTTTCTCCAGTTTGAGGGTGAACCTGAAAATCAAAATCTGTTGCTTCAGGCAGTTACTTTTCAGTCAGAGTTTAGACTCACTTTTTGAGTTCTTCGTTTTTGTCAAGCACTCCGCGATGATGTAGACCTCGAGACCAGGCAAAAATGGAAGCTACCGGGTTGGTGGATGTGGGATTACCCTTGAAAGGAAAAATGATTACAAATGCGTCATTGTTGGGATAATTTTCAAAATTACTACCTTCTGGTACTCTCTGTAGTGCCTCGTGACAGTTCCGTGAGCGGCTTCAGCTTCAATTGTCTTGCCATCTGGGCACATCAAGACCGACGTCATCAGTCCAAGTGAACCATATCCTAAACACAGACATCAATAATTAGCAATTTACAAGAAAACTTGGTCCGCTTTTGCAAGCAGTTACCTTGAGCAACGATATCGCTCTGTACATCACCATCATAGTTCTTGCATGCCCAAACGAATCCACCGGCGCTCTTCAGAACTTGTGCTACCTACATTTGAAAATTAAATCTTCCTATATTATGAGCACCAAGTAAAAGTTAATATTCTCAGGAACTGCAAAGAGGACAAAGTGTGAGGTGCTTTATCAATAAAATATATAAAAGTGTCATGTCAAAAAGTGCAGCTTCTAAGAGAAAAATCAAAAGTCACTCTTAGAGATATTACCATTTCCGCAACCGTTGTACGTCTCAGTTCTGCCTAAACACTATAAATTACAGCACAAAGTTCTGCTTGAAATCCCACACAGGAGTCAACTTATCTTTGACTTATCAGTTATTGGTCTAAAAGGCACCCAAATGGATCAAATATCGTTGAAAAAAATTAGAAATCAAAGGATCTATGCTTTCAAGGTTCCTCCAAATTTCGTAGGCTGTCTTCTTGAAATGATATGCGTAGCCCAGATAGGTCGTCATTGCGGACTGTCTGCGTCTCTTGCAA